ATATTTTCCCATAATTGTATTCGTTGACAATTTTATCTTTGCGACTTAGATATTTGCGGAATTGATTGAGATTTAGATGGGGGAGGAAATTGTGTTGAATTTTTGAGTGTGTGAATATAAAAATGTGTGTATGGTTTTTAATCGGAATTAAATTCAATTTTAAATTTTCATTCAAATTTTATTGGAATTAGACTTTAGAATTTCCTCGAGCCATTTGTTTCGAAATTTATGAAAATTATTAATCGGTTCAACGATGTTCCGAAATATACTTACTGTTCGGTGTTGGGTACCTATTGCCTGATAATTAAGTTATTTGAGATAGTTTGTTCTGGTGCGAATGAAAAAGTAAAATATTTCCTTCTTTAAATATAATATGAGTAGATGATTAAATTATAAAACAATGTTTTATATTAATATATATCATTTGTACACATGTTAAATTTATAAATGTTTATTAGAAAATTGCATATATATTAAATGTATTGTATATTAAAATAATAATCTAATATAAAATAGATTTTCGTCACATATTACGATCGCATGATGTCGATTAGATTGTGGGTGTACTTTTGCTTTCCACATATCCACTTCAGTTTCTACTTCCTGCTTACAATTTAGAAAATACAGAACCCTTCATCATGGGTTCTGTTGTGATGTTCAGCTTATAATTGTGGCCTATAGATGGACTCGAAAAAACACAAAAATTAAGTTTTTGGTCCACTTCATCCCAAAACTATTATCTGATCATCACCGAAAATTATAGGCGTTGACCTTGACAATAACTGGAACCTCATGAACATTTCAAAGCGATCAGCCCTATATTTCCGCCCTCCAGAGTGGTAATGGGTTATTAAATAATATCTGAATACATAAGGATGTAAGTGTAACTTCTACATCTGAGTACATGTCCTTCAGGAGAATAGAATAGAAATCAAGCGGTATGAAAAAAGTCATTTTCTGTTTGGGGACTTATTTCATACCACCGAAAGTCAGGGTCCATTTTACCAGCTAAATATTGACCGATCTTTATCAAAATAGGAATGCTCATCCTTTGGCTCCTTCTCCATGTAAAAATTCGCGATGTTTGGGCCATAATTGCGGTCTCTGGAGTGACCAGAAAACCCGATACAAATTATGTATTTGGTCCATTTTATCCCCCAAATATTGGGTTGGGGAAAAAGAAATGATCGAAGTTGACCGGTATGTTAGCAGTCGTAACAGCGTCCAGGAGCTAAAACTAGACCATAAAACTGTATTAAACCATTTAGAATTGACCAGAAACGGCCAAAATTTGCCAACAGGAGAGGTATTAGGGATACGTAGTCGAGCGCAAAAGTCGACTTTTAGACTTTTCGATTTTTGCATCTGACTAAAAAGTCGATTTTTAGACTTTTCGATTTTTAACTTTGACTAAAAAGTCGATTTTTCGACCTTTCGATTTTGTCAAAATTCTTCAAAATCGATTCTCGACTTTTACTGCAAAATCGACTAAAAATTTGATTTTTTTATATGAATTATTGTGAACAGATAATGTAAAGTTCCGGAAAGTGCAATTTTTGGGCAATTTGAGATTTGTTTTACAAAACCAAGTATTTATGAAGAAAATCGAAAGTCGACTTTACGATTTTCTCATAGTTCAAAAGTCGACTTTGACTTTTAGACTTTTCAATACAAAAAGTCGATTAAACGAATAGTCGAAAGTCAATTTACATATTCCTAAGAGGTATCGTGTTCCACCAAGACAACGCTAGGCCACACATATCTACAGTGACACGCCGAAACTTCGGGAGATTGATTTGGATGTTTTTATGCATCCGCCATACAGTCCGGACTTGGCACCAAGAGATTATCATATTTTTCATGCATTGCAAAATTTCTTTAATGATAAAAAATTGATATCTAGGGAGGATTGTGAAAATCAACTACTACAGTATTTTGCAAATAGAGAGCAGGACTTCTATGAGACAGGCATTATGGAGTTACCTTTAAAATGGCAATAAATCATACAACAAAAAGTCCGATAGTTTATATACAAATAATAGATTTATTTTTCATCAACCTAATATTAACCGATCTTTACAATAGGGGAGATCAAAAACAATAGGGGAGAACCCATCCTAAATGCAAAATTTCGTGAAGATGGGTCCATAACTGTGGCCTGCATCGTGTTTACAAATTATAATGGGCAGATGGATGGACGGACGGACACACTCACATGTCTAGATCGACTCATCTAGTCGAGATATGACGATCGGTGTACTTAAAGGTGGACGTAGGACCAATACAAACTCCTGGGGCTGCACACATTTATAATAACCGGACATCATAGTTGTGTAGGGTATAATTAAATTTTACTTTTACTAACATAGAATGCTGATGATAAAATGGATAATTGATAAAAAGTACAAAGAAAGACCACATTTGTCATTGTTCTTCCTGCTCCTAACACAAATACTAATTTAATGACTATAAATGCAAAAACCCAATAAATAAAAACTGCAAAATCAAAAATGTCTCGTGAGTAAAACAGAACATCCTTCGCAAAAACAGGGCAGTCCAAATTTTCAAATAATAATAATAATGATTCATGATTCTTATTCGTGTAAAGAATATGCAAAGTTCAAAATTTCCCTTAATTCTCAGAGTTTTCCTATTATTAGAAATATATAAAAACCCGATGCTCTCAATTTTTTACCACTGCTAGTACTCAAAAAGTAATACAAAATTTATTAAGGGGACTCCCCTTCCCCCACCCCTTCACGGTTCCAAAAAATTTAATTTTGTATTTGGATTTAATTCGAACCAATACTAATTCAAGAATGTCCCTATACACTTTAAACGCGTTTTTCTCCAAACAGCGTTTTTGCGATGGCGGGCAAAAACAGGCGATTTTCAAAAAAAAAAAAAAAAAAAAATGACTCAAAGTTCCGCCATTTTGTTAATTGTTGTACGAAGTTAATAATCCTAGTTCACACGAGAACCAGACATTTTTAACACCGTTAGAATTTTCGGATTCCGATGTTCCAGTGAGGAGTTATCATGCCCGCCATCAAAAATAAGGACTTTTCTTTGATCACACAACAAAAATTGTTTGTAAATAATTTTTCTTCTTTTTTAAAACTTCAAATATATACAAGGTGGCCCAAAAAGGACTGAAGGATTGAAAAAAGCTTTTTTTGTTTTTATTTTTTATTGATTTTTTTATGTTTTTAAATTTTTAATTCTTGGAAATTTTTTAAATTTAATGGAACCCCACCCATTCTCGATTTTAATTTTTCAAGATTTTCAATGGGCTGGTGCTTGTTAAGGTTTGTAACTTTGCACATATATATTTGAGAATTTAAAAGAGAAGAAAAATAATTTACAAAAAATTTTTGTTATTGTTTTGTTGTTGTTTTTTGTAATTAAAGAAAAGTCCTTATTTTTGTTGGTGGGCATGATAACTCCTCACTGGAACATCGGAATCCGAAAATTCCAACGGTGTTAGAAAAAGTACATGTCTGGCTCTCGTATGAACTAGGATTATTGACTTTGCTCTAAAATGAAAAAAATGACGGACCTTTAAAAAAATATTTTTGGAAAATCGCCGATTCTTTACCGAAAACCAAGTTAAAAAATAAGGAAGATATTCACCGATTGACTTTATCCTAGTTCATACTATACCTATACACTCACAGAGAAACGTGTAAAAATTTGGAATCGATTGGGTTATTAATTTTTGAGTTGCCCGCAATTCGCAAAAGAGAAAAACGCGTTTAAAGTTTGAGAAGCCCTTTAACCGTCACTTGATGCTGACACAATAAATCGGCTATATCTTCAAGAGTTCTTGAAAATTGGCTATTTTAACCGCATTTTCCATTACTACCCGTAGAGTTTCTGGTTCCAGGTTGCAGGGATGTTCTGGAGATTCCCAATTGAGTACAACGACGACGAGTAGAGACAGATGGATCTTCGTTTATACTCTGTCGTACAGCCCCCACAACTGTTTCTTTGCGCACAGATCGATCTCTTCCTCTTCCTGGAAGATCTAACACACTTCCATGTTTCTCAAAACGGGAGACTAAGTTTCTAATCATGTTGTGACTGGGTGCTGTTTGGACATTAAAATGACAACGATAATTTAGTTGAGTTGTAATAATTTACCTTCCAGAAGAATACAAAATTCAATGATTTTGACGCACTTCTGCACATCATATGTAGCCGTGATTTATATGCAAATACCAGTAAATAATATGCAAAAGACAAAACACAAAAATTATTAAAAACAAAATAAATATAACCATTTTTAAGACTTCAGTCTTTTTTGGGAGGGGGTCGAGAATGGAGGGGTTCCCTTAAGGGTGATTTTTAAAAAATTGTGTTTTATTTATTTGTGGTTTCCTTAAGACGGATATGACACTCATCCTAACGAAATTTTCAAATGCATAAATATATTTTCCTTCGAAAATATATAATTGTCTTAATCCTATATATTTTACTAAATATCGAGACAATTAAACAAATAGTTTAATTGATATAAAATATAAAAATTTAACTTTTCCCTCCTGTATAATAATATTAAAATCAACAATAATACATACAATTCTCCTGAGTAGAATTTCTTAACTAAAATTATACCACAATTTTAATTGCATACACAGGCATACATACGCACAAAACTAAAATTAAATTTACATATTTAATTTATCTTTATTCTACACATTCAGACATTGTAGACATCAATAATAATAATAATATTTTTATTCACATAAATTAAATTTTCAAATACAATTATGCACACTATTATGATTTGCAAATTATTTCGATAAACATAAAATGTTTTGTGTTTTGCGAATGAACAAAAATTTAATAATCACAAATGTAACAATGAACAACAACAATAAAAATAATAATAATTTCTTAATTGTTGCATAATTTTTGAAACTAATGAAATAATATTTGTTTAATTGTATCGTCTTGTTCTAATGCTTGTCTCTCTCTTTCTCTCTATTTCATTGCAGGATAAAGTTAAAGAAGTCTTTGATACAGCCATTTGGGAAGGCTTGGCACCATCTATATTACCACCCACACCGGCACCATTATGGAAGAGATTATTCTGTTTGGCCTAAAGCATGGAAAATTAAATTTGAAAAAGGGGCTAAACGGAATCACACGAATGAATGAAGAAAATTTGAAATTGAAAGTTGAAAATGCATAAATAATAGACTGATTAATGTTATAAAGGAAAAATACTATTACAGAGTTTTTCTATTTACAATCATGTTATGCTAATAACAAGAAAGTATATATATTTTTTTGGAAAATTAAGTTTTAAGTAACGAAAAATCATCGTTTTCATTAAGTTTACAGAATTTTTTTTTTTCGAAACAAACAAGCGATAGTTCTTCAATACGGCCTAATTTTTTTAATTTTATTACCAATTTATGTTTGAAAATTTGTATTGTAATGATTTTAATCCACATTTTTGTTATTTATATATAACATTTTTTTAATTGTGAAATTTTTTCCACCTGTTTTTTGAATTAAGTTTTTTTAACCAATTGATGCTTCCAAATTCATTGCTTACTTTCTTCACCCAATTACTTATTTTGAACAACATTTGTTGTTTGTATTAGTTTATAATGTTGATCTTCTCATTAATATAGATTGTTAAAAAAATATTTTTATAGCATTAAATAATTATAGAATTTGTATTTGTATTTATTAGTTAATAAGTCTGAAGTCATGGGTTATTCAATGTCAAATTGAGGGAGTAAAATAGAAAACTCGTCTTATACATGAAAAAATTTTCAAATTTTTACAAATTTTGATTGAATTTGAAGGAATGTTTAAATGAGTTTTTATACTCTTTCGAGTCAAGTGTATACTCTGATCGAAAAAACTCACTTAAATTGTTTTTAAAAATATAATGTTTAAATAAATATTTATTTGGCATAACTTCAAAATTTAGAGTCTTAAAATTATGAAAAAATTAAGCCATTAAAAATTTACCAAATGATGTATTTTTTTATTGTTAAAATTAATATGAGTGTGATAAAAAATATAATACAAATAATATGAATTGTTAGTAAAGATAAATAAACTATTTAGAATATACATATATATTATGTATGGAATTCTGAAAATTAATTAAAATCAAAACTGTTTTAAAACACCATTGAAATTGTATTAAGATTATCACACACACACAAAATTACATCTCATCTTCAATAGCCACTTAATTTGAATTTAAATTAAAATTTATTTTTTTGTTTATATTTTCCTACCAATTTGACATGGAATAACCCAGTGCATAATAATTATGAAAATCGAAATTCTTGTTATTATAGGAAAAAACATTCAAATCGCCAACATAAATTTGCAAAACAAATTACCACAAAGAATTTCAGATTGTTATTCTTTGATTTACTTAATATTTTGCATTATCATTATTTTCTTTAAACATTTTTTTAATTGTGAATTATTATTATACATGTCATTATCGTTATAGCAAAACATTTCTTTTTATTTTGTTTAGAAATGTATAAACACACACACACGTAATAATATCAAGAGATACTACTATAAAACAAATAACACTCATTCCATCCACACGAATATAATATAAACAAAAACCAATTTTGTTAACTATTAAGTTTTATTTTTATGCATCTATTAAAAATACAAAAATGATAAATAAATTCTCTTATATATATTGATAAAGCAAACAAAGTTGGTATTTTATTTAAAGTTTAATGGTTCTAATAATCCCCGAAAAAAAATTTTAGGTATTCTACGGTTCTTATGGTCCCTAAAAATCCACGCTTTTGATAGTCCCTGAAAAATATTATATGTATAAGAAATCCACGCTTCTCTTAGACCCTGGTATAATACTCTTTAATAAATCTACGCTTCTGATAGTCCTTGAAAAAATATCCCTTATAAAATGTATCCTTCTGATAGTCCTTGACAAAATATTCCTTAAAAAATCCAATCTGCTGCTAGCCTTTAAAAAATATTTCTAAAAAATCTACGCTTCTGATAGCCATTGAAAAATGTTCCTTAAAACATCTACGCTTCTTATAGTCTCCGGAAAAAAATAGTCTTGTTTAAAAAAATATTCTTTAAACAAGTAAAAAAGTGTCAGTCGGCGTTCCCCAAAGATATATACCTTCACCATATGGTTTGCGAAGGAGGTCTTTGGAGTTATAAGATGATGTTTCAGATATTATGTAGATCACTTAGGCTTGGTAAAGATAATAGGTTGTGCAAAGTTTGGTTGAAATCGGAATTCCATTCGCCTAATATTGGATTTATAAATATTGCAAATTTTGACCCTTTGTGGGGGAGGTACCAGAAGGGGTGGACCAATGGGTATATCTTCAAACTGATTCTTGGTAAAGATAAAAGGTTTTGCAAAGTTCGGTTCAAATCAGACATTCCATCCGCCTGATATCGTATTCATAAATATGAAAATTTAGACCATTTGTGTGGGAGGTACCAGAAGGATAATGGATGCCACCTTGAAAAAATATCCCTTATAAAATGTATCCTTCTGATAGTCCTTGACAAAATATTCCTTAAAAAATCCAATCTGCTGCTAGCCTTTAAAAAATATTCTTAAAAAATCTACGCTTCTGATAGCCATTGAAAAATGTTCCTTAAAACATCTACGCTTCTTATAGTCTCCGGAAAAAATAGTCTTGTTTAAAAAATATTCTTTAAACAAGTAAAAAAGTGTCAGTCGGCGTTCCCCAAAGATATATACCTTCACCATATGGTTTGCGAAGGAGGTCTTTGGAGTTATAAGATGATGTTTCAGATTTTATGTAGATCACATAGGCTTGGTAAAGATAATAGGTTGTGCAAAGTTTGGTTGAAATCGGAATTCCATTCGCCTAATATTGGATTTATAAATATTGAAAATTTTGATCCTTTGTGGGGGAGGTACCAGAAGGGGTGGACCAATGGGTATATCTTCAAACTGATTCTTGGTAAAGATAAAAGGTTTTGCAAAGTTCGCTTCAAATCAGACATTCCATCCGCCTGATATCGGATTCATAAATATGAAAATTTAGACCATTTGTGTGGGAGGTACCAGAAGGAGAATGGATCCCACTTTCGGACTTGATATAGGCTTGGTACAGATATTATAGGTTGTGTAAAGTTTAGTTCAAATCGGACATTTTAATCGCCTGATATTGGATTTATAAATATTCAAAATTTGGATCATCTGTGGGGGAGGTATCAGAAGTAGTGGGCCAATGGGTCCCATCTTCCTACTTGATCTGGCCGTGGAATGGATAATAGGTTATGAAAAGTTTCGTTAAAATCGGATAGTCCGTTTGCATGTTATTATAAAATTAATTTTTAGCACAATTTTGGCCATTTTGTGGGGGCGGTACCAGGGCGGTACTAAGTTTGGAAGAAATATTAAAATGTGCAAAGTTTGGAAGAAATCGATTATACCCTTCGAGAGTTATCGAGTGCACCAGCCAGACAGACGGACATTTGTAAATCGACTTAAAATTTTTTGAAATGGATTTGCGGTCTAAAACCAATATTTCGATGAGTCACATTTTCACCGTATACCTTGATTTTCGAACAATTAAAATTGAAAAGATTTATTTATAATTCAATAACTTTTGAAATACTCAAGACATAGGCACAAAATTGATGTCATTTGAAAGCTAAAATTATTTGCTATCTATTGATCCTATCATAATAAAAATACGAGCAATTTTAAATTAATAAAAAATCATTTTATGTTTACTAATGAAGTTCACTTGTGAACTATTTTATGTAAATAAAATGTATTTTTCTTATAACGAAGAATACTTCTTTCTCTAGAGTATGACACCTAATTCATTAAAATCGGTTAAGTAGTCGCCGAGTTATTTACATTTGAATTTACCCATGTTCCGAAATATACTTACTGCGCGGTGCTGGGCACCTATTACTTGAAAATGAAAAACCACACAAAAATCAGTCTTTTAAAAATGGAAATATTTTTTTTTTCATAATAGGTACTGTGTATGTATGTATTGATTTATGTAGGTATGGATTTATGTATGTATATACGTGAAATTATGTTGCATTAAATTTGTGCATAAAAACAATCGCCTACCAATCGGACTACATGCATACAGACTATGTTTGGCCTAAAAGTATGCTATATGTTGCTTTACAAACCAGCAGTCATTACGAAAGAAAATTTGCCGTTTTTAAAAAATGCATTTTTGTGTGGTTTTTCATTTTTAGGTAATAGGCGCCCAGCACCGAACAGTATGTATATTTTGGAACATCGTTGAATTGAAATGCAAATAACTCAGCAACGACTTAACCGATTTTCATAAATTAGGTGTCATATTCTAGTGAAAGAAGTATTCTTTGTTATATGGAAAATGCATTTTATTTAAATTAAGCACTTCACAAGTCAATTTCAGTAGTAAACTTAAAACGATTTGTTATTCATATTATATTACCTGCACTTGGAATTATGATTGAATCAATAGATAGCAAACGATTTTAGCTTTCACATGACACCAATTTTATGTGGATACCTCAATTATTTCAAAATTTATTGCATTTTGAATATATCTTTAAAATGTTCAGTCGCAAAATTGACAGGTTGTTGGGAAAATCAAGGTATTGGTAAAATTGAGATAACTTTATAATGAATTGAGATGTTTTGAAAAATTCAACGATTATTTGTAGCTTGGATGATCCTCTATATATAATTATTTCGTCTAAAATTTCTCATTAATGCTTGATATTTTTCGTCGGCAATATTAACACACTTATGATCAGGATTTAAAGTTGCACATAAAATAAGAAAATATTTCCAAATATCACAATTCGTTCAAATAAATTAAGGTTTTTGCCCATTTATTTTGAACCACTGGCGATATACTAATAAAATTGCTGTCATACGAAAGGAAAGAAACCTAGCTGTTTCAAAATATATTCGTATTTGCTTAAATATGACATGTTGTATATGAAAACATAGTTTGAATAATTCTTTCTGCAATTATATCCTTAAAAAAATGTGTGTCCGATTCTATTATTAAGACAAATATTTGACTCTTAAATACAATAGCTTATTTGTCTTAATACAGCAATTTGTTAA